CTTTACCCCAAATACAGTCAGGGCCTGGGTGATCGGACCCTGACGGACACCCCACCAGAAGCTCTGGGATTCAGGAGGTGGGACAGTGAGAAGCCCAGACAGGAGCCCTCTGACCTGTGACCATGATCTTCAGGGGGTCGCTGGGTGCCGTCCGCCGAGTGGGGGAGTGCGGGTGAAAACCCCGACATCTGTAGGTCCCTGCATGTGCTGCAGTCACGGGGCCCATGAGGAAGCTCTCCTGGAATATAACGCCCTGGACGTTGGGAACGTGGAACCTGTCTTCTTTATACAGGGTGAAGTTGTTAAACCCACCACCATAGTGACACCTAAGAGTCACGTGTCCTCCTCGAGGTACCACTGCGCTGGGCCAGGCAGACAGGAAGGGCTTGTCCTGACCACCTGGGGGAGAAGGAGGCGTGGCCTTAGAGAGGAAGATGTGGAGCTGCCCCTCCCTCCCTGTGCTCAGGGGATTCTCTCCCTTTCCATGTTCCTAGGGCTCCTGCCACACCTGGGTGTCCAGGGCTACAGGAAAGACCCATCCTGGATAGACATAGTGTCTCCCTACAACAAACGCATCAGCAGAGAAATGTGAGCAAGTGCTGAATGAGGGACTCTTAGTAGATTTTAATACTGCAAAACTACTTACATAAAACAACACAAAGTAGACATGGGCTGCAGGGCACGTCCTTTGTGAAGGGAGTATCGGCCACTGCGTGAACCACAATAAACAACTGAGCCCCCATCAGAGGACTTAGAATGTGAAGCTCATGGCTGTGGTTCCCCCACCTCTTCTGGTAGAATGACAGCAGCCCCATGGCAGCCCATACCGTCATGGAAACGCTGGAGGGTGTGAGTTACACCTTTGTCCTCAGAGCGTCGGCCTTTCCTAGCACTGCTTCCCTCCCTTCCTCTGCCGGTGACACGACTTCCTCCCCGCACACCCCAGCTTGGGGCACCCCAATCTCACCCCAGTCCCCACGGAGCTTGACTCAGCCAAGGGAAGGAAAGGCTGGGAAGGGCTGGGTCAGAACTGTGGGCCGAGCTTCCCAGGGCCCCCTCTTCCTAGTTTATGAGAGACTCCCCCACAGGATTTTTCTTGTTTCAGGAAACTCCCTTACGTGGGAAGATGACACCCTAAGGTTTGGGGAAGGACTCACCCTCATGTGGCCAGGCTCCCTGGACCAAGAACAACCCTGGAAAGAGAGATCATGATGAATGATCCATCTGTACACAAACCAGGCCTGCCCTGCTGCCCCGAATGTGCTGTGTGCCTTGGCAGCCAGGCCCTTTTTAGGTTGAAGGTAAACACAGCCTCGTTGCCCATCTGACCCCAGAGAGAAGGCTCTTGGCTGTGCAGAGGACTAGCCTCCAGGCCCAGGTCGATACCTCGACGCTCTTATCTCCGCTAGGGGCAATATCCCCACTCCAGGCCCATATCTCCACCCTAGGCCCATATCTGCACCCCAGGCCCATATCTCCACCCCAGGACAAAATATCCCAGGCCCATATCTCCACCCCAGGCCCAGATCCCCACCCCAGGCCCAT